TCCCGCCCCTCCACCCCACCTCTTCACCACTCTGCACGTCCCAGGGTCCCCAAGAGCCCTTGGCTCCTTTGTTTTACATCTGCCTCGGCTGCGACCTTGGCACGGTGGCCGTCGTGGCCACTGGAAAAGTCAAGAGTGGCTCTCTAGCTGAGCGGGACCCACACAGCCCAGAACATGGTGGAGGTCCCCAAGACCATAGGATGAGACTGGCAGAGCCCGTAAGCACCTGAAGGACACAGGACTGGGAAGGCCTGGAAAAGGGAGCCCTGGTATTTGGATAGGATTTCTAATTTAGCTCTTGGACTTCGCCGTGACATCTGAAAGTCGGACTCTGCCATTGAAAGGAGCACGGGAGGCCAAGTCCAGAGGACAAAGGAGGAGCAGAGAGCCCCATCCCCATCCCCTCCACTCCCCACCAGCCTCCAAAATAGTACAGGACCAGATGAATACCTGCAGGGTGGTGGTGATCTAGCAGAAGGAGTTCCCTTTCACCACCAGGGCGGTTCACAGCATGCAAGAGTCTGTCAGACCTCGTGAATGGCTTCTAGCTCCTGATAACACTGACACCTTTCTCCCCAACTGAATTACGCACAGTGTGTCCACACGAAAGATGAAGTCCACACATCCATACTCGGCCTGCACTTGCAGTGAAGGGCGTGCTGTAGATCAGGATGTCTGCCCTACAGATCAAGGGCTTCAAGCTGAAGCAACACGCAAACACACTGAACCTAAGGGCAGCTTAGGTGGGAGAGGGCTTACTTGCAACTAAAAACACGATTTTAATGTTATAAAACTTGAAAGACAGACAAATACAGGCCGATGTAACATGGAGATTGGATTTATCTGTTGTGATAAAGCAATCATGGGGGAAAGGGTTTCTCTGGCTCGGCTCAGCAGGCACATCACACCCAATCTGGTACAGAGAGAGATACAAAACAGCACTCAGCTTCCTTTTGCTTTCTGTGTGGTCCAGGAGCCTACCCCAGGGTATGGTGCTGCCCACAATGACGCTGTCTTCCCACTGCAATCCATCACGCTTGTCTCTCCCAAAGCATATCCAGAAACTAGCCTAACCTAGATAATCCCTCACAGGTGTTCCAAAATCCAATCTAGATGATTCTAGAGTCTCAAGAAGACAACTGAGATAAAGTATCATATGTTTCTAATGGAAAGGGGATAACAATTTGGAAACAGGAAGTATGTTCAGGTTCATCCTTTATTCTAATTTGGCTTGAGAACAGGGCAAATGAAACGGGAGTTAGGAGACAATATGACCTATAGAGAAGACACGGATTTAGAATTAAGACTTTGGTTTAGATCTCAGCACTGTTATTAACTGTGTGATTAGAGGGAAATTTAATCTCTCTGGCCCTCCAATTCCTCATCTGAAAATGAATAATAATGATGCCCAACTGCCTGCATAAAGCTGCCTTGTTGTTCACCACACTCAGCCCCCAGACACTGGCAGTACAGGGGAAAGGGTGGGGTATAAACCTTATGAGGCCCAGTAAAATATGTAACTACAGGTTAGAAAAAGGCCCCATCCTAGAGACACCTGACTTTGGGCAATAAAATGAGGCGGGGGGGGGGGCACGGACTTTCAAGTATTGGAAGCCTTGAGAAGCATTTCAGAGAGTGGTCAGTTTAGCAGCTGGGGAATAACCAGCTATCTGGAATTTTTGAGGAAATTCTGGTAGAGTGGTGGTTTCAGAAACCAGGTTGAAGTGAATGAAAGAAAGTTATGGGAAGGCTAGGAACTGGAGGGGAAACAAGACAACCCAGAGAAGTTCTGTTAAAGTAAACACAAAACCAGAGTTGCAGGAGAGATGGTGGTTTTGGGGGCAGTTTCTGTAGGTCCCAAGTGGGACATTCTCACTCAGCTTCATAGAATTTTTCCTTCCTACTCTCTGGCACGCTATCCTTTCTTAACCTTATATGGACGGACCCTTTCCCTTTGTTTTCAGCTGCTGAGGAGAAACAGGGTTTGCTCCACACTGTCTCTTGTGATGGAGATTGTTCCGGGCCCGATCCTTTTACCTTCTTAACGGGTGCCTTTCCATTGCATTTCTTTCTCCATTGTCATGACGTCCCCCTTCCTAAGGTACGTTTTTCACACAAATGTGTGAGTGTGCCTCTCCCCCAAAACCTAAATCTAAGCATGGATTTGACTAAGAATACCATAAAGTCAGTTTCTGTTGATTGGAAGGAGGAGGAATTTAGATAAGAAAGCATTAATACTTAAACATCTTTCCTTTAAGCTTAGGGATGCCTTTCAAAAAAACAAATACAAAATATTAAAACACCACCAAAAATGAATCTGTCCTTATAAGTTTTCCAAAATGTATCTTCCACTTACATTTTCTCAGACTTCAGCTTAGCTCAGAATGGGGTATAAGAAAGGGATCTTTATTTAGGGGTAGACTCACAGGTCAACAGTCCTCTGCACAAGCGGGGAACAGAAACCAAATCCAGCAGCTGAGAGAGAGAGACCACGCAAGCTTTACTTCCATTTACATTTATAGTATAAGAGACCACACACAAGTGGGCTGGTATCTTAAAGGCTATTAGCTAAAGGAGTTCCCACACATGTTAGTAAGTAAATATAGCTGGCTTTTCAATGTTTGTTGTTAAGATAACACATGAGGCTTATACATCTGTACATGCCCTTTATTTTGGAAACTTAGCCCTGAGCTATTCACAGTAGAGAGCAAATACCAACACCAGCGCCAGGTAAGACTCTGTTTCATGCTGAGCTTGGACCCAGCTGTCCCATGCCACATCCCAGATCCATCTGCTGGCAATCTGTGAGAAAAAATTTTAAAGACTCAGATGGAATGTGTTAAGTATCTTTTAAATTACATAATCTGATTTTTTAAATAGTGTGTCAGTATCTCAGAAAATCATATTTAAGAAATAATTTGTTAGGCTGGGTGGCAAACAATCTGTGCTCAAAGCTCTCAGTTACATCCTAGCATAAGAGGAAAATCAAGAGGCCAGAGTGATGGCTCAGCAGTTAAGAGTATATATTGTGTTTCCAGAAGAGCTCAGTTCAGTTCCCAGCACCCACACCAGATGGCTTACACCTGTAGCTCCACCTCCATGGGAATCCGTCACCTTTGACCTCTTCATGGGCCTTCAGACATGAGCACACACCCCCATCCCCCAAACACACACTAGATGATAAAAAAGTAAATTTTTTTTAAGGACATGTCCCATTCTCCTTTCCGTGGAGAGACTCGGGAGTGGTCCTGCTTGGCTCCGTTCCTTGCTGGAGGCTGGGAGTTGCCTTACAGGGAGCCTAGGCAGGGTCAGAAAGCTCTAGAATGGACTCTAGTAGTTCTACCTAGAGACCCAGCTTCTTACCACATCTAGAAACCTACAACTGAAAGCTTGCTAGGGTCTTTCCTGGCAGCAACGGTGCTGATTGTATAAATGGGCCATGACTGCTCTGTGAGGCCTGCAAGGACAGCTTTAGTGTCTGTGATGGATCCAAAATGGCCACACATTCTTCAAGGCAGGAAGCTGGAGACAGGAGCTGAGCAGAGGTCATGGAGAAGCTGTTTGCCAGCTTATTCAGCCTGTTTCTTTACAGCAACCAGGACCACTGGTCCAGGGGTGACACTTCCCACCATGGGCTGGAGTCTCCCACATCAACCACTAATTAAGAAAATGCCCTACAGGATTGCCTACAGCCCAGTCTTATGGAGGCAATTTTTCAACAGAGGTTCCTTCCTCTGATTCTAGCTAGCTTGTGTTAAGTTGACATAAAACTAGAAAACACAATTGACTCTTTTCAACATGACACATAAGCATATCACTGAGTTATATCCTTGTTCATCCCTGAACATCATACATCAGTAACATCACAATATAAAACATTCTTAATTACCTAGCATGCCTAAATGAAACTTACTGCTAAATATTTATTTTTGCTGTTTTCGAGACAAGGTCTCTCTGTGTAGACCTGGCTGTCTTGGAATTCACTAGTTAGACCAGCCTTGAACTTACAGAGATCCACCTCCCTCTGTCTCCCGAGTGCTGTGATTAAAAGTATGCATCACTACCCCTAGCTTACTGGTTAATTAATTTAAATGACATTTAAATTATCAAAATTGCTATGACCAAGAAGCAGGCTACATAATCTAGTAAATTACTGATAGAAAAATTGTATTTCTAGGCTAGTACTTTTCAAATAATTTGCAATGAAAAAAAAGTTTGCTTTTTTTTTAACAAACTGATCTTTTTATTCAAGAGGTCCTTCATGATCTCTACACCCCCTAGGAACACCTCAAATCTCAAATGAATGGATGTTAGGTCACTGGGGCACTTACATTTATTGCTTGACCAGTTTTTTGAATAAATAATACTTTTATAATGAATTTATAACGGTGGTACCCAAATTCTTTAACCGCTGCCAATACTCGATCTGCCAAGTCAAGTGACAAATGAGAGAAGGCTTTATCATCATATTTGACATCTTTAAGACTTTCCTTTAAAAAAATAAGAAAAAAGTTTCAATTTTTAAACAAAATGTTTTATAAAAATAGAAAACATGTATCTAAATAATACATACAACTGTTTTAAAATACATAATAGTCCTGAAAATTACCATATATCATACTTACCAATTTATTTTCAGTAACAATTTTGAAAAAATGCTTTCAAAATTATCTTCAATTGTCAAAAGCCTGGTTTGGTGGCACAAGCCTTAAATTGCAGCACTCAGGAGGCCAAGGCATATGGCTCCTTATAGCTGTAGGCCAGCCTGACTAGACAGTAAGTTCCCAGCCAACCACAGCTACAACAGTGAGACTCAGTCTCAAAGCCATGGGTTCAGTTCCCCTCATCACCAACTCTCGAGCTGTGAGTTCCTGCTTAAGAGGCTGCTTTGTCAGCTACAATAACCCAGTCTCCATTTTCTACTAGGGAGACAAAAGAATTTCAGAAACTTTCTGGAAATTCATAGTAAAGGAAGGAACGTGATTGCATGTTCCAAATGCAGGTGTTGCTGGGCCAAGTTGGCTTTATGTCACAGTATCCTCTGGGTCTCTAACTCCTTATGGTGCCAACAACTAGTGCATTTACTACTTAACACATCTAAGAAAAAGAGACAGGGCTCACAGACCATGAAGCAAGAGCCTTCCTTTTAAAACATAAAACCAGATTTACTTTAAATGCATGACTGCTCTGCCTGCATGCGTGTCTGTGCACCACGTGTTGTGAGGCACCGTGTGGATCCACTCTTCATCCCAGGAGCCGTTCTCATACACTGAGCACAGCTGAGCTGAGGAGGAGCTGAGCACAAACAAATCCTCTGATTAACTGGCTTTCTGGAAGTGCACCGGGCGGTGGACTAAGTTCTCGTGACAACAAATGGACGACTATCAGTCAATTTCATACAACAAAAAATCAAGTAAGTGTCCTCCTTGATTCTCCTGCACCCTGCTAGCTCAACCCTCTTTCCTCTCGTCTGCCTCCCAACCTCTCCTAGTGTCTCCCTGATAGGTTCCTTCCATGTCTGTAGCTGGTCTAAGCTGGTCTAAGCTGGTCTAAGCCCTGCATTTCGTCTTGCATCTATCTTCCCAATATTCCATATCATCTGCTTTCTCCTGAGTCTAACTCAAGTTCACGGTCAGTCTTCTCTCAAAGTAAACCTAACCCACTGCTTGTCTGTCTAGGAGTCTCTTTGACTCCATATTCTGACTGTAACTCTGGCCTCGGGATCCAGGGGTGGCCGATCCATAGTTTGATCCAGAGGTTCAACCCTATTCCGTTTATTCAATTTTGTTTAATTTCATTTACCTGGTAGAATCAAGTGAGAGACCAAAAATATACACTTATATCACACATACTATTAGTGTTGATTAGAATTCTTTCCCCAAACCATAAGATATACTATCTTTGCCAAATATCAATTATTGTGAAATACATAGATAGTATAGTTAGAATGGAGGGATGGAAGGTAGCAGAGAGGTTCAGAATATACACCCTTAAATGTGTTGTGAAATACATTGTATAGTTAGAATGGAGGGATGGAAGGTAGCAGAGAGGTTCAGAATATACACCCTTAAATGTGTTGCTCTCTCATGTAATTTTGACCCAAAAGTACTTGAAAAAAAAATATGGGTGCAGTAGCCTGCTGTTCCTTTTTCCAGAAAGTAGGAGATAAAGCTCTTATGAAAAGGATCCTCTCTAGTGCCAGAGAGGGAAGAGGAACAGACACAGCACTTCTTCAACTAGCCTTCCTTTCCCAGGCACATTTCTGGGATTACCTACCCCAGCTCAGATACCTTAAATCAGGCTTCCGAATTTTTCTAACCTGTATCCCAACTAGCAAACAAGAACTTGATTCTGCCTTTCCATACCTCTGTCTTCCTCACGAGGTCCTCCATGTATAGGTACAAGTTACTGAAGTTTGCTTTTCTCTAGATTTGCCTTATAGTATTTTAATTTTTAGGTGAGGTGGAAACCTAAAGGGAGAGATGTATCTCCTGTAGATGAGGGGACAGCAGCTGCTGGAACCCAAATGTTGATCTGCAGCCTGCAGATGCAAGCCAAGCCCCTGGTCATACAAGCTGAGAATGGGACCCATAAGTTAAGCAGTGGAGTGTGAACTCAAGTGCATTTCACAGTGAACATCAGGTTCCCCAGACCCATGCTGACCCAATTATGGAACTGGCATGAGTAGAATAGACATTCTTAGCAGCTGCAGAAAGTCAGAGCTTTTATTGAGGAAAACCTTCAATGGAAACAGAGTTACCTCTACCTTACTCAAAAATAGTATGGCATCATGAAGAGGTCGTATAAAGCATCGCCATTGTGACTGTTGCCATGTCCTCTTTCCATCCGTCTGACTGTTCTGTGAGCTTGGCCAGGCAGCATCTACAGCTGCAGCTGCTGTATGGTTCATGGTTTCACGGTTTAAGCAACACATCTTTTAGAACCACCTATGTAGTTACTGACCTGGAAAAAAAGCCTTTTTCTCCATACCTATGCATAAGAGCTATTAGAACCAGTTTGCTTTCAGCTAGCAAAGCCAGAAATGCATCTTTCCCATCCTACCTAACGTCTACCAGCTGTCCAGCCCTGTAAACAGTGGTTTTCCTGTCTCAACAGCCTGGTCCCAAATAAAACACGCAGAAGCTTATATATAAAACTATAAATGCTCTGTCAATAGCTCTGGTTTATTACTAACTAGCTCTTACATTTAAACCAACCAATTTCTATTAATCTATGTATTGCCATGTGGCTTATGGCTTTACCTGTCCTCTAGCATCTTGCTTCTTGGGCGGCTTGCTGGCATCTCCCTCAAGTCTGCCTTTCTTCATCCCTGTCCTCAGTTTGATTGTCCCACCTAATTTTATCCTGCCTTGCTATAGGCCAATCCGTTTTATTATTAACTAATGAGAGTAATGCATAGTCACAGCATACAAAAGAATTATCCCATACACAGCACAGTCCCATGTCAGAATTTAGTTTACAGAGAACCTGGTTGTCTTTTTCCCTTTGGGTTCAGACTGAATTCAACACTCAGAATTATAGGACCATTTTCCCTCTATATTTTTACAGGGAGTCTCTGTAGGGAATACACATACACCTTCCTCAATATATATCACATGTCTTATTTTGATCTAGCATGGCCTCAATAGTCTCATATGTGCTAGATAATTGTCTACCACTGAACTATATCCTTGGGCCCTGATTACCTTTAATATCTGTTGGATTTTAGTCTCTACTGAATGTGCTTGGAATTTCTTCAATGGCTCCATTCTGTATGAATTAGCAAACTTTAATTTTGCCAGGGCACTCTTCCATTCTTTGCCTATATCAGCAATTGAATCATCAAATGGAGGTTCCACATACTGAACATCATGAAAAGATTCTCTCAGTCTTTCTCTTAAGATCTGTGCATACTGAAAGAGGAAGGGAGAAAGATTACATTTCAAACTTTAAGAATCTGCATACAGTGGAGGCTGAGCTAACAAACCTGAAATCTTCTAGGTAGACTTCAATTCAGTCACTAAATCTTAAGTCTATTTATTAACTTCCAACTATTAACACTTTCTATCATCAATTTGAGACTAAATAACTACCTGAGAGATAGGCTTTTGGCTTGCCTAAGGAGGATTATTTTGATGTGATTAAAGAAAATGAGAAGACTTATCCTGACCTGTATAGAACGGAGACAGTGCGTGGAGCACAAGGAATCACTGCTCTCTGCCTCCGCACTGTGGGTCCAGTGTGCTCAGCCCCCTCAAAGCCCTGCTGCCGTGACTTCTCTGTCTTGGTGGACTGGACCCTGGCACCATGAGGCCAAAACAAACTCTTCTTTATTAAGCTGCTTTTGTAAGAGTATTTACCACAACAGCAGGAAGTGGAACTATGACATTCACAAATATAAAATATGCAAGTTTGTGTGCCTATATTTAAAATACCTAAAAAAATATCCAAAAGGATGAGAAACAAGAGTAGCCCTAGAGAGTGCCTGAGGGATAAAGGCAAAACAACTTTAAATGTTTCCAAGACCTGCAATTATGAAAATATTACCCATACATTTATTTATCTTTAAATAAGTAACAGATTTAAGTAACACTATAAATCTTAACTTGAAAAGATAACAAAAGCATATATTTGTATGTGCAAATATATCATATATATTACATATATGTCAGTTCATTTTTGACATGAAATATACGAATCCATGATTTTTGGCATGTATTTTTTAACATGATGCCATCCGAAGTATATAATTTATTTTAATAAAATAATTAGAGCCCTACTGATGTGCCCAACCAGTGACTGACTGGTGGGGTGCAGGCACCCCAGGCTATGAACACTGTGTAAACAACGCAGCTCCATCTGTAGGTGACAAAGCCACTCAGCAGTTTCCAAACACTGGACAACACTGCTGCAGCTCCTGAATCACTTTCTAGGCCCGACAGTGGCAAGCTTCACTGTCTTAATAACCAGGAATTTCTTTCTGTACCTACTTGCTTGGCTAGAACTTCCAATTTCATACTGACCACAAGTGATGAACACAGGATGAATGGACACAGCCTTAGTCCTGCTGGAGGACAAAGTTTTAGTCTTCTACCACTGAATATAATGTTGGCTATGGGCTTTTAACACATAAATTTTTAATATTCTGATAATTCTGGTAGTTGTATTCAATACTTTTCATCACAAAAGGGTAAATTTTGACAAAAATGATTTTTTTAATCAATGGATATGATCATATAACTTACTGCTTCGTTGTATGTACTACATTGGTAGACTTTTATATGATGACCCATCTTTCCATCCAGAAAAACGTGGTCACAGTGTGTAACTCTCTGAAGACTGATACTAGTGCTTTTTTCAGTGTTTGGGGTTTTGCAATAATATTTATAGGGCTATTAGTTTTCTTTTTTGGTTTAATTACGTTTATTTATTTGTCAGCAGATGGTGGTGTATGCTCTAAAAAAGACACAAAAACTTACATGTACAAATCTGCGTACACATATTTGTGTACTATTCTAGCTTCATAGAAGTTCACTGAGGTGGATACTCTTTGGGTCTGGTTAATTTTAGTGTGTAACTTTTTTATTTGCAAGTTTTTATAATAAAATTTATTGAAAGCGAAGAAAATTCTATGGTTGGAGATCATGCATGGTAGATAGGTGCACCACACAAGGTAGATCCAGCACTGCCAATTTTTGAAGGTGTATTACTGAAATCTCCCACTATCATGTCAGTTTGGTATATTTCTCCTTTAAATCTATACATCTTCCTCTCACATACTTTGATGCTGCACCATTAGTTGTGTATTTGCAAGAACTGGTCTGTTTTCTCAGACAACTGGCCCCATCCTCGCTATGCAATGCCTCACTTCATCACTGATGGCTTCACTTGCTTTGCTTTTCCTTTGTCTGAAGTCTACTGCTACTCCTACTTGATTCTCTCTCTCTCTCCTTCCCTCTTTCTCTCCCTCCTCTCCCCCCCCTTCTCTGTCTCTCTGTGTGTGTATGTGTGTTTTTTTGAGACAGGATTTTTCTGTGTAACAGCCCTAACTGTCCTGGAACTAGCTCTTGTAGACCAGGCTGGCCTCATAATGGGCCAATCAGTTTACAGCTTATGGAGACCTCTGTGTGATTTTCTTTGGGACTTGCCAGCTGTGAGAACTGGGCAGGACAGAAACCCCAACAAGCCGGCCCTCATGTTACAGAATGGCGCCTACATGGACAACTATATCTACATAAAGCCTGACTGAGCTTGGGAAGTAATTCTGAGCAGACAAGAGTAAAGCATGGCTTCTTGGTAGCAGCAATTTCTCGGGTCTGCTCTGCTTGCTAGAGGCAAGCACTCTCATTTAAGAGGGGCTTCCCGACTCAGCTTTAGCTGCAAAACCATGCAGTTCTTTTAAGAGGTCCTGCCACGAAACACTTAAATAGTGTTGATAAAAATCTGGCCACATGCTTTTCCGTTTTCAGCTGTAGCAGGAAAAAAGCTGTGCTGTTTTAAAATGCTGGCTTTCTGGGCCGTCCTGCCAGGGCAAACTCTGAGTCTTTCAGGCAGGCAGCCGGACAATGGAGCATTTGAGTGTGGTTTGTGAGCACACTGTTGCAGCTTGCTTGCTGGCAGGAACCTTGAAACGCCATAGAGTTGTGGCAATAAACATGGCTCCTGCCAGTACCTCCGCCATGAGGCTGGAATCTCACAAAGCTGAGGAATGGGCTGGATCCAGTCGTCAGAGCCATGGCTTTAATCCTACCCATATTGCTTGATAAATTAAAGACTCGTATAATCAGAAAAAGAGAGATATACAGTAAAGGGAGATTCAAAGAAGAAAGAAAACCTCTAAATGGTTTACTGTGTCTTAAAAATAAATGCAGGCTAAAGGTTAAAGTCCTTAAAATAAAAAGAGAGTAGTTGGGTGTGGTGGTACATACCTTTAATCCCAAAGTTTGGGAGGCAGAGGCAGGCAGATCTCTGTGAGTGCAAAGACAGCCTGGTCTACAGAGTTATTCCAGGACAGCCAAAGATATACAGAGAACCTGTCTCAAAAAGTAAAAGTAAAAAGAAAAGAAATAGAGTTTAAAATAAAGTCATGTAAAGATGGAAAACACACAGAGAATCTGGATACTGTATGTTATTATGCTCTCTTTGAATTGTTTATATGCTGAGGAAGGAGCAACAGCTGCGAAAAGAAATTTGTTTATAAATGCTGCTGAATTAATTCAAGATAAGTATTTTGAAAATACCTTGACTTCAAAATTGAAGTCAAAAGGTATGCTACTTTGGAGAAGAAACTTTGCTTTTGTTTCCACAGGAAGTGAGAGGCTGAGGCTTCATTCTGAGTTAAGAAAAATCAGATTTGACCAAGGAAGACACCCGAGAAATCTCCAGTAGGAGCAGATGGCCCAGATGTCTAAGTTCTACATCCAGAACAGATTCAAGACTGCTGTCTGAGATAATCAAGACTCACAGGATACTCCAGTCAGGATTTGATCATAACTCTAAATTCTCTTTAGGTCCCCATAAGATTATCAGTACCCCCAACCAGCTAGAAGTAGCCTGGAAAACTATGTCCATATTCCAAAATAAATGGACTATGGATGTTATTGTTTTCTTTAAAAAAAAGGGGGGGGGATGGTGCAGGACAATTCTATATTCTGTCAATTATATTTTAAATAAACGCTGATTGGCTGATAGACAGAAAGAAAGTATAGGCAGGGAAAACCAGACAGGAAGCAGAGGTGTGGCAATGAGAACAGGAGTATTCTGGGGAGGAAGCTCTTTCCCAAGTCTTGCCCAGATCACCAAAGAAGCAGGATGTGACCTGCCCTGCCAAAAAACATACCGAGTCATGTGGCTAACATATACAAGAATAATGGGTTAAAATAAGTTACAAGAGTTAACAAGAAGCCAAGCTAATGGGTTAATCCGTTTATAACTTATGGAGACCTCTGTGTGATTTTCTTTGGGACTTGCCGGCTGTGGGAACTGGGTAGGACAGAAACCCCAACAAGCCAGCCCTCATGTTATAGCCTCGAACTCACAGAGATCTGCCAGCCTCTGCCTCCTGAGTGCTAGGATTAAAAGCATGTGCCACCATCACTCAGCTAAATAAACATTTGTTTGTTTGTTTGTTTGTTGTTTGTAGACAGGGTTTCTATGTATATCCTTGGCTGTCCTGCAATTCATCCTGCAAACCAGGCTGGCCTAGAACTCAGAGATTCACCTGCCTCTGCCTCCCGAGTGCTGGGATTAAAGGTGTGCACCACCACTGCCCAGCTAACTTCTACTTAAGTTTGATATTAATGTGTCTTTTTCCACCCATCCACTTTTATGTATGTGTAGTTTAATCCACTGACAACTGTTGTACTCAAACCAATGACAACGTGATTATTGGTACAATTGAATCAATAGTTAAGATATTTGTTACTCTCTTCTATTTGATGCCCCTGTTCTTCGTTTTATTGTCTTCCATTCTTTTCTATTGTGACTTAAACTGAGCATTCAATGTGATTCCTGTTCTCTAATTTCTCAGCATGTTAATTACTCTTCCTCCACCTCCTCTACTTCCTCTCTTAACACTAGAGTTCAGAAATATGTGTTGCAGGTAATTCAAACCCACTTTCAACTAACACTTCATAGATAGTATAAATTAATATAAAAAATAACTAATTCTTTCCTCCCATTCTTTCTGTCATGCTGCTATTCACCTCACCTGTAACAGATACACACTTAACATGTATTCATAAGCAAACATAATTGTATCTTTCCTGCTATTTTTAATAAACCATTATCTGTTAGAGTAGAAAGAGGAACATTAAAGGTTTTTAATTAACCTTTATTCAGTGCTTTCTTTGGTGCTTTTATGCAGATTCAAATTTCTGAAGTTACTGTGGTATAGTCTCTAATTCATACGTCTTATAATATCTTATATTCCATCCTCTATCTAGGATTTCCATTGTGAATAATTTACAACTTCTATAACTGCCTCAAAGTTTTCAAACATTCCTCTCTTCTTTTTCAGTCTGCATTTTTTTCCATTTGTTTTGGATATTTCTATGATACTTTCATTCCTGGGGTGTTTACTACTCAGTACACCTTGTAATTTTTTTCCTTGATAGTAGACCAACTTACAGTGTCAGACCTGTAAACAGCCTCCAGTAATGTGATTTTACACACTGTGGGATATTTTACAGCGGCAAGGCTCTTTGAAGAGGCCCTGCTACTGAACACTTGAATGAGGTTTACGAGAGGGCAGTGCGATACTCAGTGGAGAGAGACTAGGTAGAGGGCCTACCAGAGCTGGGCAGATGGATAAGACAGCTCCAGGTCAGGGCCGGCAGGTATGAGGCTCCACTGTCACTGGCCTGAAAGGGGCTGAGCCGGCCACCACATCATGTGCTAAGCAAAGATACAGCACTGAGGGCCTAGAAACTGCTCAAGGTTTGGCTGGTGGTCAGAAAACACTGTAGACATACAAAAAGTCAGGTCCAGACTGAGAAAACCTCTAAATAGATATATTTTAAAATGTGCTTAGATGCTAAAGAAAGAAAAGAAAATGGGTATAGACAGTCACAGAAAAATAAATAGTTATAAAATAATAAAATGTCTTCTACTGAAAAGTAGAAGTAAGAAAATATGTTGCATTGGGGGAGAGGTTTTATTTTTGTTTCTACATGAAACAAAAAGCCATGGATTTCTTCAAAATTAATAAAGACCAGATCTGATCAGGGGAGAGCTCCTGAAAACCTTGGCCACAGACATAAACTAAGAAAAACACAAGACGGGTGACACAGACGGTGACATGTGCTGGTCCCTCTGCATGGGAACAGCTCTGAGACTGGAGGAGACATGACAAGTCTTGTTGGCTACAGAGTCCTCATGACTTATTATTACCTGCCATCCTTTCTCATGGCATGGACAGAGGTTTGGTTATGCAGTCCAAACAGACTTATAAAGTAAACAGATGCCTTTTACCCGTCCAAGCAAAGAACAAAAAATCACCCCTGACTTGTGCACACTGTACATTCTACACTTGTGTTAACGCAGACATATGTTACCTTTAAAAGTTTGTATGTTTTCAGAAAAAAGGGGAGCAGACACTAACGAGTACAAGTGGCCCAGGTAACCCAGCCTCTCAGAATGCCTCTGTTGCATCCAGAGTAACTTTAAAGATGATAGCCGAGATGGTCCAGCCAAAACTTCAGATAAGATCTACACTTTCCCATCACCCAGAGACCAAACAAAAAAATAATAGTTACTTCTCCCAGGACTTAATCATTGTTCCAATTGTCTCAGGATCTCCTAGAGATGCTGTTACCCCCAGACAACAGAAAGCAGTCTAGAGAACAGAACAGATGCCTACATTTTCAGGAGGTAGGGTGGATGATTTTTAGTTGTTCAATGGATTATGGATGTTTATCATTGTTTATGGGGGTTAGTTACAAGTTGTTGTTGGTCATAGTCAGGGACAAAGAAGAACAAAGGAGATGAGATTCAGGGATCTTGTTCTGAAAAGAAATTGGGGGCTATAGAAATGATAGGATAAAAGGGTAGATTACTGAGTCCACTTTTAGACTGAAAAGCGACTATTAAACTCAAATATTTTACATTGGTATGGATTTTTGTATTTTGATACAAATTTAAAGTAATTTCTGTTAGAACATACTCCATATATGTTTCTGCTCTTGTTTAATGTATTTTTGTATATTGATGCAAATTTAAAGTTATTTTTTGTTATACTGTATATAAGTCTCTACTGTTGGTGGAGACTGCTTGTGCATTATGATAGAAAGGTATAAAACTTGGACCCATTAAGATAGGGTAGATAATACAGTAATTTCTCCAAATTTGCTAAGTACAAATGAATTAGACATTGTGAATGTAATTCTTACTTGATAATGGTTCTTACTGTATATAAATTTCATGTATTAGATCTAAAACTTTTCCTTTTTACTTAGACAAAAAGGAGAAACTTGTAGGATGTTTGTACACTGTTCCAAGATGTATCGCTATGACTGGTATGATAAAAGCTGAACGACCAATAGATAGGCAGGAGTTATAGGCGGGACTTCTGTGTGTGGGAGAGGGAAAGAGGGGGGAGGGGGAGAGGGAGAGGGAGAGGGAGAGAGAGGGAGGGAGAGAGAGAGAGAGAGAGAGAGACAGAGAGAGAGAGAGACTGACTGGGAGGAAGAATCTAGGCATACAATTTCGTCAGCAGACATGTGGGGCAAGTCAGATGTGCTCCACTAAGAGGTAACCGAGCCACATTGTAGAACACAGATTTGAAAAAATATAGGTTAAATGACAGGTGGTGGTGGCGCATGCCTTTAATCCCAGCACTTGGAAGGTAGAGGCAGGAGGATTTCTGTGACTTTGAGGTCAGCCTGATCTACAGAACTAGTTCCAGAACAGCTAAAGCTATTACACAGTGAAACCCTGTCTTAGAAAAAAAATTGGGTTAACTTAAAAGAGCTAATTGGGGAAAAGCTTAAGCTAAGGTCAAGCTTTTATAATTAATAGTAAGTCTCCAGGTCATTATTTGTGGACTGGCAGTCCAAAGTTAGTCCAACAAGAAAGCTTGCTACACACACACACCCACACCCACACGCACGCACGCAGAGTGGGAACTCTAGTAGTATATCAATTACATCAGGTTTTCATACCCTACCACTAAAAGCTTGAGCATACTTTGGTATGCTGAGTCTCTCTACCAACTATCACTAACCTTTGTGGTAGCAATTTGTACTATAATCAATTTTGGGATTTGCAATTTTTTACTTGTTACTTAAATGTAGGGACTTCAACTTATATCACAATTTGAAATTCTGTTTTTGAGATATATTTTAGCTGCGTATAGTATTCTAGGTATGATTTTCTTTCAGTAAAGATGATGCTCTGGGGTTTTCTGATTTAGATGGTTTCTGAGAAGCCTATTTTCTCTTTTATAGAAATATTTATATCACTGGCTTCAAGTATGTCTCGGCAAAATTTCCTGATTCTTGTGCCTGGAATTCACTGAGATTCTTTAGTGTATGGGTTTAGTTTTCATATTTGTCTCTTTTTAATCTAGAATTTCAAACATTATTTGTTATCCTTCCTTTATTCTTTAGGGACTCAAATAACAAGACTACTAAGACATCTCATTGACCTTGTACGCCTTTTCAGAACTCTCTCCTCATGCATCTAAGCTTACTGGTCCTCTTTGTGTGAGATTAAATCTGTGAGCTGCATTCACTGCACCTGATCTGACATGGTGTTTGTTTACAGAAGGCTAACTCAACCTTTCTCTTAACAAGTGACTGCTACTTCTTTTCTACTACAACACACTCAAGGGATACACTATTAATACACTGTATGACTAGCAGTTTTCAAGATTGCATGATTCTTCTGGGAATAGGACACGTGGAGATCCAAATTAACCCTTAATAAGCAGACTATTTTGAGAACTGCATCTCCGACATTTCTTCTTTATGTATAATACTGGTCACTTGATTTCGCATACCTTTATTAAACGTACTTTATTCTTTCAGCTGAGATGAAATCCTTATCATCTTTTTAAATGCTGCCAAATTTGTTATCAATATAAGCTACTATCTGTCATTTATCTACAACTTTTAGTAATCTGGCCTAAGGTGTTGTAATCTCTGTTGTAAAGACCTAACTCCTGCTAAGCAAAAATGTGATTTGTTGTTAAGATGGGAGTAATTCAGTCAAGATGGAAAACCATAATAACCAGACTCGGGTAGACACATGAAGGACACTCCAGTTTGCATCTGCCATTATAATAAACCTAAGCCTTTTCTTAGGTCATTAAATAAATCTAAGTTTGTTTCATCTTCCTACAAAGTTTATGTTGTCACCTACACCACTAAAACCCTATAGAGCTGCAGATGGGCTACTTTTCTGAAAATACACTAGAAAAAAAGACACTTGGGGCTGGAGAGCGCCTGCAGAAGACCCAGCCGTTCCCAGCAACCACTTGGTGCTCACAGCCACTGCTGCCACTGCTGCGCATACACCCAGGAACACCCGTCACACATACATGTGCATAAAACAAATGAATAATTTTCTACAAATGAATATGGGACAATTAAAGTCAAGAGGTGCTCATACTGATTCAAATGTGTCCTGACTTCATGTTCTCAGAAACACAGAAACCACTGGCCACTTGAAATTAACGTTCAGTGTTGATTAGCAAGCAAGTGGGATCCTGTTTTAATTTCTTTTTAACTATTGGCCTATGCGAAGGTTTTACCTTCAGAAGACTAGACTTTAAGGGATGTTCTTTTCTATTGTTATCAGAGAAATAACCAGAATATTTTCTAACTTTCCTCTTAAATATTCTTCAAATAACAAACAAGGCTTAATTGATCTGCACGTGTTTTTTTCCAAGTGCGCGCTCTCTCTCTCCCTCTCCCTCTCTCTCTCTCTGTGTGTGTGTGTGTGTTTAAGGTGCATATGTGTGGTATAAACTCACTTGGTAAGCTACGAATATACTAAAATTGCGTTTGGAAGGCGCAATGTATACAACTATTGGATAACTATGGACATTGGCCAGTTAAGTCTGAAAAGAACTGGGAACGATCTTGTGAAAACTTTCCACTAGTTAACGTATGGCTCTTTGGATTTAACAACAAAAAACCCTCGGCCTTCGACGTCTAAACCACGTGGCTCCACCTAAACTCAGCTTCGCAAGGGTCAAGAAAACCGAAGAAGGTGAAGTGCAGCCATCCTTCCCTCGCCTCTGGACGACGACAAGGACAGAGCAGCTTCGTCTAGGGGGTGGGGAAGCTGCCTCGGGCCTGCGCTCTGCACTCACTGCCTCCTTCTCGAACATGCTAGGCCTCCTTTCCCTCTTAGGCGCCACCGGGGAGTGATGCGGCGCTTGGCTGCTGGTCGACTTCGTCACTCGGGTTCGCCGGTCCATCTTGATCAGTTTTCGCCCAGACGCCGCGCCTCCCACCGCTGTAGTCGCCCAACGCCCCGGCCTCAATGCCAGAGAACGAATCTCGCGCCAGCGCCGCGCACGCAGTCGCGTCCCGGAAGTCGCGGCGGAAAGACGTGCGTCATTAGAGAGCGCCACGTCCAAGCCGGAAGCGATGGAGGTAGGGTGACTGCCGCCTGCATGGGGTTCCCATGCGGCCCAGTCCAGACTCGGTCACCGTCCTGTATTCCCTGCGGGGTGGGGTCGGTGTGGCCCTAGGGCAGGCCCGAAGCGGGATGATAAGCTGCAGGGAAAGCCAATGTACAGAACACAGTGTTTGATGAGCGGGAGGAAGCGTGATGCAAACAGAAAAGTCGGGATCCATCATTCCACGCACCTACTCGGTGCTTCTCGGCCTGAAGTTGTGTTCCATACCAAGGACAGAAATGTTCTGTTCTCCCACTCTCTGTGAAGAACCGCTGGTTTTGATCACTGCGGCATAAAGGAGTGTCAGAGGGAATGACAATGCATTGTTCAAAAAACCCGCCGAGCCTCTGAACTCCGGCATCAGCAAGGCTGATAAAGAAACGATTCAAGGCTTTCAACATTCACTTTAAAGCAGACCCATAAAATACACTTCGTGTCTAAGCACAGTTAGACACATGCAGCAGCTATTACGGTATCCAGAAAGCATATTAGCAGCTTCCCTACCTTAGTTCTGTCTGTACGTAAGATAGGATTTTCCTTTGGCTTGGATGTAACAGTGACTGCCCTTTGTGTTTTTTATTTCAGATTTTAACAGGAGATCCCATTACCACATACCTTTCTCCTTTAGTGCACGACTTGATTTGTAACCTTGGCTTTGAACTCAGAGAAAAATGTGATATCAGTAGCATTGTCACTCAAAATGGTGAAGTACTCTGGAAAGCAATTACAGACCGTGTGCGCTATGCAGAATCAGGTTTGTACTGTCAGTTAGTACCATTACACTTAAAATGTTTTGGCCTGTAAAATCCTCCTTGGTTCTTTTTCTTGGAGGATGTAATAATGTAGTTGTAAGAGGAGAAAAAGGAAACTGGAAAATATAGAAAAGTCATGCTTAGCTGAGAAAATTGTGTGTGAGCAGGAGGCAGCCAGGGATGCTGGAATACATCTCAGGGCCTGGATTCGCTAGTCACTAGGTGAATATACAGCATGGATACCCTAGATAAAGGACAAGACAGAATAGGGTAGCGCCTCCATTGTGTTCCTCAGAACAGCACCTAATTAACACTATGGATTGTTTCTGGAATTCGATAATTTTTAGTTGATTGTGAGTAACAAACTATAGCCGCACATTCCTTACTGGTAGTAAAGCCTTCTGCAATTAATTTCTACCGAGCTACAAGGACACTTAGTGTATTTCCAGTTATAAGCTGCTTGATTTTGGAACATTTTGTAATTAAAGCTTTTCTTTGGTTTAGCCTTTTTTTTTCATCCTGTGGCATACAGCTGTGGAACTAAAACATATTTTCTCCTCCTATAAGGGCAGAGTCTGGATTACAGGGAAAGTGTGCGGCTGCTGGGTCCTGTCTGTGAGGCCATTCATCTACACACCCTGTCTCTGACCAGGGCACAGTTTGAAATTAAGTATTCGCCATGGTTCCAGTGGACAGCCTATCCAGAGGTTTGACATTTGCATAGCTCTAGAAATAAAAGACTTTGCAACTTGGAAATCCTCATTACTTGCCAAGTTAAGGGTGTCTTTTTCCAATATTTGGCCTTCCAGTGTTGAAGAGGTCCTGAGAGCTGCAAGAGAAATCTAAGTAGTTTATCTATAGGATCTGAAGCCTGAGTTGAGGAATATACCACTTTGAACAACTTTTGGACTCAACTAGGCAGGCATTTGTCTTAGGTTTCTATTGCTGTGAAGAGACACCATAACCATGACAACTCCTATTCAGGAAAGCATTTAACTGGTACTGGCTTACAATCTCCTAGGTTTAGTCCATTATCATCATGGTGGGAAGCAGGGCAGCACAGAGGCAGACAGTTACTGGAGCAGCAGCTAAGAGTTCTACATCTTGATCCACAGGCAACAGAAAGTGACCTGGCTTGAGCTTCCTCAAAGCCCACCACCTAGTGACAGACCTCCTCCAACAAGCCACACCGACTCCAACAAGGCCACACCTAATAGTGACACTCCCTGTGGGCCTAGAATTCAAACACATGAGTCTCTGGGGGTCACTCCCATTCACACCACCACAGCAGTAGAAAATAAAATCCACTTTAGCATCAGGACAGAACTCCCAGGGAGACGATGCCAAGGTTAGATCAGAGTAGGTGCTTGGTTTCTTCATAGTAAGTTGTAAAATATATAGTCACTAATGCAAGTATTGTGTGGTTTGCTTTTTTCTTTTCCTGTGTTTCATTTGACAGTATAATAAAGCAGTACCTGTAATATCTGATTCTAGAACAGTCTGGTAAGGTGAGCTGCCTTAGAGGAGCCAAACTAAATTGTTACAGGAAATAAGGAGCAGGTCAAAGTATTTGGTTTCACTATTATGCCAGATTTGTGATTTGAATAAACATTTAAAGAAAGAACTTTCAAAGAACTCTTTATGTATTTAATAATTTTATTATAATATTTCAGTAGAAACTATTTGCTTATACCAAACATTTAAATGTAGCAGTTGAAATATTGAGGCTTGAATTCAGTAATAGTAGTAACTCAAAAATAATTTTTTTTGAGAATGATTTTTCATTCAATCTGAGCTCTGATGTGTGTTTACTCTGAATAGTTGTTTCTTGAAATATTTGATGCCTTGGAAAGCCTGAACTCTGCTGCTGTCTCCCTCAGTGTGATGAAACTGACTTCCTGTCTGGAGCGCGCCTTAGGTGATGTGAGTGTGAGGATCCCTGTTGTTTGCCAGATTGCCTGGATGAACACAAAACCTTCAGATTTCTTGATTTTTATTATTTTTTTCCCGTAAAATACAATGATTTTCTTTTCATATAATTAAGAAATCCTAGTACCTGTGAGCTGGGAGAAGTTTCAATAGATCCAAGTACTTTCTGCGTAAGCATGGGTACCTGGATTTACATTATAGTACCCATGTTTAAAAAATGAAAAGCTGTGTATCGTTGCTTCTACAGCTCCTGTGACCCCACACTGGGGGTGGGGAGAGAGTGGACGGAGGGTCACTGGGGCTTTCTGGCCTCTGTTCTAGCTCTAGTTTCAGTAAAAGACCCTCTGTCAAGAGAATAAGATGGAGAGTGACCGAGTAAGACACCCGATGTCCTCCTCTGGTGTGTGAAACCAACACACACACACAGAAGGAAATATGTCTAAGCGCTTTTCTTTGCTCATTTGTACTATACATCATAAATGATGCTCTATTTTAAAATACTGCCTCATTGTAATGTAGTTTTTATATGCTTTCTGTTTGAACTTTAGGTGTTTTTACTGATTGGAAAGGAGTGCCCCTTCCTTCTGAGAGATCTCCTTGCATCTGCAGAGCTTGCACAAGTCTTTGGGCATGCTGCGGTAAGTGTATGCACAGCATATAAAGCAGAGAGGAGCTGGCATGAGCTGTGCTTTTGATCCTCTAAAACTACACTACTCTGGGAAAGTGCTAACTGTCTCATAGATTTAAGTGTCTTCTTCCTTCCCTCTGGAACTGCCCGCCTGCACGTATTCCAGGATCTCTCTCCCCAGATGCAGTGACATTGGGATAACCACATAGGTCCAGCCAGAGAGACAGAGCATATCACTGTATTCAGTGAAGTATTCACAATGCTCATACTAAGTCGCTGCAGACTATGGTTAGCACTTTAGAATGAGAGTATGGCATTTGTGTCCTGAAATACCTGTGTTTTGGCAGGTAGGAATTTATACGTTTTGCAGTTTTCCAGACTTATAGTGGCAAAAAAAAAAAAAATAGAGCTTGGTAAGAAATTACAGAGGCCGTTATACTTCTCAGAATGTTCTAGAGGGACTGTAATCAAGAAACTTCAGACTAAATGGTGCTGTGTAGGCAGCTTAGTGAGGCAGAAGAATAGAACAGCCATCTTAGTTGGACTGGAACTCCACCAGACTCCCTATTTAGGGCTGAGACACCGAGACACCGTCTCCAGTGAGCCCTCCCAATGCTCACTGGATCATCTCCCTTGCCAACCTGAAGATAGTTTTCTGGTCAAGAGCCTGAAATGGGGCTGGAGTGTGGCCTCTTGTTGTTATACTGAGTCATTAAACACATCTGTGTCTGCCTGCCTGCCTGCCGTTAGGCATTTCCTCTGAATGGCCACTTTTAGCCTCTAGATGATTTCTTGTAGCTGCTGACAGATGGTATTTGCTTTATAAAATGGGGGACGGGATCAGAGACTCCAAAGATATGGCTATTGAACACTGATGGGTTGAACCCCTCTGAGCTTCCCACCTGCTGGTTCTGCTTCAGAGGTCCAGACAGCACCTGTCTCCTCTGCTCGGCAGCAGTCCAGCACAAACCAAGACTGCTCTTGTTTCCTCTTTCATGAGTTCGTGGAGGACTTGGATGTTGTCCTAGCTGTGACTGCTGTCCTCATCCTTATTACCACTTAGGCCCACACCACCTGCTATGGAGTTTGTATCCATTGTTTTCTGTTGTGTTCAGATTCTGGGCACCTCTGATGTCCAGTGTGGAAGCCGTGCGTCCTGGGCCAGTTCCTCATCCTAGTACAGTCTGCTGGTGGAACCTTGGCTCCCCTTCCTTGCTATGTCTCTTTCTCTGCACAGTGAGAGATGATAGTGCATTCCTAAAAGGTGGTTCTGGGGATAAACGAGTTGATGGATCATTCAAAACTGTGTCTAGCATGTGCTAAATACTTAGTAAATGTTGGCTTCAAGACAGTAAAATCTCTTATTGGCTAAAGGTACCTACCAGCAGGGCTGATGACTATCTTCAATCCCTGCTACCCTTGTGGTAGAAGGAGAGAATCAGCTCCCACAAGTTGTCTCTGACCTCTACATCCTGGCACACACCAATGAAACTGTATAAAGTTTTGGTGTTAGTTTCATTGTTACCATGTTATACTGGCAGAAGCTGTTGGCTCTCTTAGTTCTAAGGGAGCAGCAAACACTGTAGGATTGAGTTTATTTACTCTGCTAGTCAGTAACATGCTATCTTAATGGATTAGATGGACGTACTGAAAGTCTTCATCGGGTCTCCCTGTGGACTTAACCTGAGAAACATCCTGTGGCATGGCTTTGCTGCTCCTCAAGACATCCCTCCAAAGTAAGTTGTGGTGCGAGATAATTGTCTGTATTCTGTCAATTTGTTTATTTTGAATAAACGCTGATTGGCCAGGCAGGAAATATAGGCGGGTTAACCAGACAGGAAGTAGAGGCAGGGCAATGAGAACAGGAGAATACTAGGGAGGAAGCCCATTCCTCCCATTCCTGCCCAGACCACAGAGAAGCAAGATGTAACCTGCCCCTGTGGAAAAGGTACTGAGCCACGTGGCTAACATAGATGAGAATAATGGGTTAATATAAGCTACAAGAGCTAATAAGAAGACTGAGCTAATGGGCCAATCAGTTTATAACCTAATGTAGACTCTGTGTGATTTTCTTTGGGGCTTGCCGGCTGTGGAGAACTGGGCAGAACAGAAACCCCAATGAGCAGGCCCTCATGTTACAAAGTTATTGGCTAAGTAACTTTCCTCCTTAATCTGCTTCAGAATGTGCTGTATCTTGAATTCCTAAGAGGAGAGGGTTAACTGAAAGGTGGGAGAATTTGAGACAGGAATGTTCGGGTTGCACATGTCACAGCGGAGTGCCTAGAGTGCTGATAGTGAGTGTCGGTGCCTCGTACCCCGAGAAGAACACACCCAGAAGCCTGGATAGGCAGGAGCCCAGGCGTCCTGAGAGTTCAGTGGTCTTCCTTGCTATTGCACCGCTTAGCTCCATCTGTGGAGAGTTCTAGAATTGGATGGGTTTCTTTCTTAACTCTTTTATTTTTTATTTTCATTTGTTCATGTACACATATAGCACAGCATTTGTGTGAAAGTCAAAGGACAATTGTGGGGAGTGGGTCTTCCCTTCCAGATGTGGTCCAGGGATTAGCCTGAGGTCTATAGCTGGGCTGTCGCCTCCTTCACCTGCTGACCCATCTCAGTTTTCCTTCCTGCATAATTTTATCATTTTTCCCTAAGAAAAGTGCTTTGTGTGTAGACTAAGTTCATCTGGTTTCTGGTCATTCCTAGGTACTGTTCAGCTATGTTGTTGTTGACAGCAGGACTGGGTCAGTTACTGAAGAGCTACCTTCACCAAACAAAAGTCACATTGGCCCATCGACCTTTTGTTACTCTTACAAACCTAGAGGACGTAGCTGTTTTTCCTGGCAAGTTCTGTGTTCCACACTGTGTTTCACACTGCCCCCTTACGTCTTCATGGAGGTATTTTTACATTTTGTGAGTAGTGACAGACTTAGGTTCCTGTGAAGTCCTTCCTACCATTGCCACGTTGGCTTTGTGAGTAACTTGAAGACCTTTTAAGCTTCCCCGCTCTAGCTGTTCTGGGAGCTGTTGGGGACCCTGAGAGTCACAGATAGAGTTGACCTCTTCCTCAGATGTGCTACCGTTCAGACAACTTGGGGCCGTCCGTGTTGGTTTTCAATCCTCTCACCCTGTCTGCATCTGGGCTCCTAGCCATTTTATCAGCTGGGCCAGCCTAGCAAGGGTTGCCTGTACCCCGAGAACGCATCCCCCCTCCCCCTCGTCAGTGTAATGAACGAAGGTACCCTGAGGGTCCTCTCAGGTGCTGCCCAAGTCTCTAAAGTTCCTTTGCCCATCTTTCATCTTGGCAGGCTTCCTGAGGCCACCCCTCTGTGACTGTAGGTCAGGCGCTCTTCCTCTTTAGGGGTGCACTGCCCCAGGTCAGTCCATCCATCCATAGGTGCTCCTGACTTCTTTCAGTTGGCTGCTGTGATTGTATTTATAAGGATGCTTGCTCTTCCACAGGTGTTACCTATGAGGTGCTCTCAGCAGTAGAGAACACCATGATGAACTCCGCCTTCATCTTAAAAGCCATGTTACCATATTGGGAAATGGCAGTGGCCAAGTTCAAGGTGCACAGGTAACAAGGGTGGTGTGGTGGTGGTGCTTAGCTGCCGGGTCTGCTCTGTGCCCTCTGCTATCTGAAAGTCATCCACTGTCCTGACTGAGTAGAGGAGAGACTGATGCAGGTCAGGCTCAGTACAGAGTATTTTTCTTTGATAACATAGACAGGCTGTAACTGTTTCAAGTGTTCCCTGTCATCCTCTTGTGTACAATTGATAGAAGTTTTTTGGTTTTTCTGGACAGGGTTTCTCTGTAACAGTCCTGCCTGTCCTGGAACCCACTTTGTAGACCACACTGTCCTCTAACTCATTGACATCCGCCTGCCTCTGCCTCCCAAGTGCTGGGATTAAAGGGTGCACCACCACTTGCTGGCCATATGACTTTATTTTTTAAGAATAAACTTCTTAGTTTATTTTCTGATTCCTTGCTGTAAGTTTAACCTGAATCTAGCATTACAGGTATGCGCTTGCCCATTGGGTTCCCTCAAAGGCCAACCCTGTGTGACAGCCAGGAACAGCATGTTTTCAGGGAAGCAGAGACCAGAGAACCAGTCAGTTGGTCCTTACTGGTCCGCAGTAACCTCATTCTTGGATTCACTTTGCACTTCAGCTGCCCTCCAGAGCTTTGTTGTTCTGGCCATCTTCAGAGGTGACAGGCAGCGTATACAGATCTTGGATGACATTTTGTTCTACTGAAACTACTAAAAACATTTCCTCAAGCATTAAAACACCAAAAATGGCTGACTAGGCTGCCGTGCTCTACCTCACTCTTGGTGCCACGTTGGCGGTCTAGACTGCTGTGCTCTACCTCACTCTCAGTGCCACGTTGGCCATCTAGGCTGCTGCGCTCAACCTCACTTCAGTGCCATGTTGGCTGTCCAGGCTGCCACGCTCTATCTCACTTCAGTGCCAAGTTGGCTGTCCAGGCTGCCACGCTCTACCTCACTTCAGTGCCACGCTGGCTGTCCAGGCTGCCACGCTCTACCTCACTTCAGTGCCACGTTGGCTGTCCAGGCTGCCACGCTCTATCTCACTTCAGTGCCACGTTGGCTGTCCAGGCTGCCACGCTCTACCTCACTTCAGTGCCACTGCCCTACCTCACTTCAGTGCCACGTTGGCCATCTAGGCTGCAGTGCAGTTGTTGCAGCATTTGCTGATTTCCTTGGATTCCACAGGTTTGCTGACTGCACCACGCTGTTGCTGTCACAGCTAGAAGCTGGACTCAGGAGAGTTTTTGCTGCAGTTAACAAATGTCCTGCTAGACTCCTCACGGCCGAGGTACATGTGCTTCTGCTACCTACTGGACTGTGGGGACTATATTGATAATTTTCTGTGGCTATTTGGAAGTTTTAAAGGCTAGAGATGTATCTAAGTTGGCTAAGCACTTGCCTAATGTAGACAGAGGCTGCTTGTTCCCGGCCGCCCAGACCCAAAATAATCACACAGAAACTATATTAATTGAAACACTGTTTGGCCAATGACTCTAGCATATTCCTAGCTAAATATTACATCTTAAATTAACTCATTCCTATATTTTATGTATTGCCATGAGGCTCATGGTTTACCAGTAAGGTTCTGGGAGCATCTGTCCCCTTCAGTAGCTACATAGTGTCTCCCTGACTACGCCTACTCTCTCTCTTCATCTCTGTTCAGATTTTTCCATCTGGCTTTACACTATTAAGCCATTGGCCAAAAACAGCTTCTTTATTAACTAATGGCAATAAACATTCACAGCATACAGAAGGGAATCCCACATCAGCCTAATAGATACAGAACCCTGGGATCAATCCCTTACAACACACACACACACACACACACACACACACACAGTCACATCTTATTTGCTGTTAAAGCACACAATTATTTTAATTGTGATTATGTAAGATAATGCCCTTTAAACTTCATGTTATGAAAGCAGCACCTTCTGAGAGCCAGAATTGTTTTTCTTTGAATGATATTACTGTTTTAATTATTTCTCTTTTATATTTTCCCCTTTCTACAGTCAACAATTCTATATACCACATTTGATGAAGTAAGTAGTCAAATTTGCAAAAAACCTTGGAAAATAATCATACTCTTTTAAATACAAATTAAAACACAATGATTAGGGCTGGAGAGGTGGTTCAGTGGTTAGGAGCACTTGCTGTTCTTGCAGAGGACCTGGGTTGGATTCCAAGAACTTATGTGGTGACTCACAGTCATGCATAGGCTGTACGTGGTGCGCATACATACATGCAGGCAAATACTTATGCACATAAAATAAGTAAACTTAAAATAATTTAATACTGTGATTTAAAACCCACAAAGATTAAGTCACATGCTGACAGGAAAATGTTGATAAGCAAGAAGGAGAAGCTTTCGCTAGATTTGAATACAGCTCCAGGGCCATATTTCAGTTGATTGAGTGCTTGACCCGCACTTGAAGCCTGGGTTTATTCTCCAGCACTGAATATACCCAGCACGGTGGCATGCACCTGAATTCCATCACTGGTGATGTAGAGGCAGGATTTGAAGGCAACTTGCAATATATCGAACTTGTTTCAAATAAATAAAGCTTTCAGGTTAAATTTGAGGCCCGGTATTATTAATCTCATTTCTGTAGTTGTACAAAACACAAAGTGGGAAAATGCAAACAGATTGACACCGTTGGCTGCAACCACTGTTGAGAACAGTTGTCCTTAACCAGTGTAACAACTTTAGAAATCAAATATTCTGACTGAATGTGTACAGATCAGTGTCCATGTATGTGCAGGTACATGAATCGGGGTTGTTGTATGCTTGTGTGTATGTCAGTTTAACAGCTTATTGATTAATCTATTTTTGGTGTTTAGATACTGGCAAAACACTTGAATGATGGTAGCATCAACCAGCTTCCTCATTTCCTGGGAGAGCCTGCCATGGTAAAGTACCGGGTATCTCCAGTCTTAGGTCTTTGTGTTTATCGGCTGGCATCTCGAGCAGAGTGAGCGTGTTTGTGGTGTGCTCGGCAGCTGGCCTGCAGCTGTGCTGTCACAGATAGTCGTCAGGAGTGCCTGCATAGAGGCACTGGGCTTGTTTATTCAGGTCACTGCCATGCCCTTTGAATGCCTGATGACCTGGTGTCTCTTAAGTGTTGGATGAAACAGAATTAATGTTTTGACCCCCTTTTCAATCAGCATTTAATATTTTATGAGGATGCTACAGTAACTGCTCTAGACTATAGTAATTACTTTTTGTTTATTCTGCCACACTGAGAGAAGATCTGGATTCTGCTTCCCATTCCTTATGTGATTTTGGCATCCCTTCCTACCCTCAGACAGCAGGGTGATACATATATATCTGTCTTGAGTCCCCGGGACTTGTCCTCTGTTGGCAGCCTGCCCACATCAGTGGTTTTCTGACCTCTTCTCTGTAGTCTGGCAGAGAGAGGTTTTGGGCAGCTGCTGTTAAGAGGAGCAAGCAGCTATGTTTGCTGATGTAAGATGCAAGAGTGGTCCACGGGTAAGTGCAGGGAGAAAGGACTGGACTAACAGACACCTGTTTGGTTCTGCTCATTCCAGCAAGAGCAATGACTTAAGACTTCTTTCGGGATGTTTATTTCCCTTCCAGAGAGGAGGGTAAGAGCAGCAAAGATAGGCATGCCTTAGGCTGCAGCTCCTTCCAGGCCTCAGTGGTTGGTCCTCGGCTCCTGTAGGCAGGCTGCACAGAGCAAGCGCTTCCCACCCCATTTCCAGCTGCAGGACAGGGTGAATGCCCTCTTTGAGACTCATATTTCCCATTAGTTTGTAAACAAGCCAGGGACTGCTTGGAACCCTGCCTTTTGCTCTTCCCTTTGCTCACAACACTAACAGAATGCCTCTCTGTTAATTTTCTAAAAGGAATTCTTGTGGGATTTCCTGAGCTATCAGGAGGGTCCTCGTATCCGGGACCGTTTAAGCCATGGGGAGATCAACTTACGTGAATTTCCAAGAGAAGCAGCGAGCCAGCTGCTCACGTTCTCCCTGGTGCTTCTGCTCAGGTTCACTGAGGAAGACACGCTGTCAGAGCTGAAGGTACCACGGGGGTAGGGGCGGGGGGGCTGGCAGGATCTACCACCTCTAGCAATGGAAGAACATGTCTTATTTTTTAAATATGATTATCTACTCATCATTTTTCATTTTAATTTAAATTACAGTCTTACTCCATCAGAATAACTATAAATTAACAACATACATGTATGAAAATCAGAGTTGTGAATCTGAAATAATTTGTCCTCTCTTAAACACATCTTTGCCTTTGCTCTTAATAGCAGTGTTGGTGTTAAAAGCCAAAGAACAGGTTATAAACACGATTAGCCAAATGCAGGAAACCCCTACAAGTATATGTCAAATTGATGGAACAGGTTATTTGCATTTCTGAAATGAATTATTTTGTTAAAGTGAATAATTTCAGTTATAATATTGTAGGTGATATTTTTGTTTTCAGTATATATATAATATATATATATATTATATATATGTATATGACACTTATTTTTTAAATTGCTTAGCAGTCCAAGCAAGCTGTGCAGTGATGGCCCATGCCTTTAATCCAAGCACTTGTGGGGCAGAGACAGGTGAAACTCTGTGAGTTCGAGGCCAGCCAGGTCAACAGAGTGAGTTCCAGGACAGGTTCCAAAGCTACACAGGGAAGCATATTTAAATAATAAAGTCCAAGCCATCAGGAACCCCCTTTGTTGAAGTCCTTGCTTCTCTGTCTCTCCGTGGTGTCTGCAGATGGGCTCACAGGAAGAAAGCTTTGTCCTTTAAACAGTGTTTTTACTAGTGTAGTTTGGATCTTTGCTGTGCCTGTTCTCTGTTAGCGTCTGTCCTTCTGTTGCATCAGTAGACCATCATGTATCTAAACCATCTCCGTTGATATGTGAACTGTGCCTTTGACTGATGGAACTCCCTGTTACAGTGGGCTGAAGGCCTGTGTTCATATTTAGGAAGTTTGCAAAAGCAAAACCCTTTGGCTAATAACAATAAGGCCTGGTCTTCTCCTCACCGACACTGCCATTCCTACATTGTCTTTGCTCACCTTTCTTTCCGCTTTATTAACCTTGCTCCTGTTCTTAGTGATGTACCACCCGTTACGTTTTGTTTTTTTTTTTGTTTTGTTTTTTTTTTTTTTTTTTAGCTCTGGGTTCCTTTTCCTTTGGCTTCTGCCTTTGATGTCATTCTTGAAAGCTTCTTTGCATTCCAAAAATTATAAACATAATCATTATTTTCCTAGGTTTTTATTTTTGTTTTTTGTTTTAGTTTGGTTTTGTTTTTTTTCAAGACAGGGTTTCTCTGTGGCTTTGGAGCCTGTTCTAGAATTAGCTCTTGTAGATCAGACAGACCTCAAACTCACAGAGATCCATCTGCCTCTGCCTCCCAAGTGCTGGGGTTAAAGGTTTGCGCCGCTACCACCCGGCCTTTTCCTAGTGTTTTTTTTTTTTTTTATCTTTTGCTCCAAGTAGAACTTAGTTCCTCTTGGGAGTGAAGTAAAGAACCTAGTTTTCAGTGTTTTCTTGTTGATATTGCTAGCAACTTCTCTGAATGCCATGTGGAAAATTGACATCTTTCTTCAGTGTGCATCAGGCTCCAGCCTCTGCTGAATCTTCATGTCAAAGTTTAGTGCTTTCCGGACACTAAGGACAGCTCCCGTTTCTGTCTCCTCAGAACTGTCTTGTCTACTCTCATGGTTTATATTCCATGTGATCTATGTCCTTAAAGTAAACACAGACACAGAAAACAAACTCAAAAGAATAATCTAGAGGAACCACATAGGGGAACTGGCATCTTTTGCTATCCTGAGCACTGCTCGGAAACTGAGGATGTTGTTCAATTGGCAGAGTGCTTGCCTAGCATACGTGAAGACCTGGGATTGCTCCCTAGCACTGCATAAGCCAGCTATGGTGGCCCACACCGGTAATCCCAGCCCTGGCTCAGAAGGTAAAGGCAGAGGATCCAAAGGTCCTCCTCTGCTCCATGGAGTTTCAGACCAGCCTGGGTTGTATAAGACCCTCAGGCCTATGAAGAGTGTGGACCCCACCCTCCCATCTAAGTAGCACATCTCCAGAGGTGGCTTCTGAGGCTCACAGACCTCCAGGCCCCCCTCCCCTTCACATTCTATACTCAGTTTTCTGTCTTAAAATACGTCTTGAATCTATTACTCAGTGTTATTCCATTAGCACCACTTGGCCGAATCCCCTTCACTTCCTGGAGGGTGCTTGCTCTGACAGCCTTTCTTCTTCCCTTTCCCAACACAGCACCAGCTCCTTGCTGTCTGTGATTTCATACCCTAGAGCAGAAGAGTTGCTCTGTCCTGCCTGAAGGCATCCTCTGTCCCCCAGTGCTTATTCCAGCCCTCATCCCCAGCCTTCACAAGTCTGCCCAGCTGGGACCACAGCCGCGAGGCTGCTGCCCACGACGTGGCTGTGGCTCTGGCCAGCGGTTATCAGATAATGAGAAGTTGACCGTGTCCCCAGACTTTGAACTTGTGGTCATTTCAGACATTTGCTCTATACTGTTGAGAAAATGGCAGTTTGTGCCCTGACTTCTGCCAGCTTTCGGCTCCCTGACTTTATCCTTTTGTAGTGTGCAGTGGCTGGCCTGGGTTTGCAGTTAGACATTTGTAACAGCTGTTGGAATATATTATAATATTTTATCTTTGTTTTTTAAATATTTATATGTTCAGCAAGTAACTGTTTATGGTCATGTAATTCTCTTCTAGTTGTATTGATTTTCAGTCCTTGAAAATTTCCCTTTTGTTTTGGGATCCTTTTCTCCTTGTGTATTTGTTGTTTTGCCATAATCTGGACAGGGTGGATGTGATCTTTGTAGATTACAGTGACCAGTTAGCTCCATTTCAGTCAGCTGGTGACTGCCAGGTCCATCCTACTTAGTGAAGAGTTTTACCATGCTTTAGATGAGTAGGGTTATTTCACAATCGTGAAAGATTGGGACCCTTAAGTGACTGTGATTCAGAAGACACCATAAATAACATCGTTCTATACAATGACTAAAAGCAATGTTTCCAAACTAGGAGGAAGCAGGAGTACAGATGCTGGTTAGTCTAGCCGAAGGCTACAGATCCCGCTGCCACCCAGCCTTCCAGCTTCAAAAGCAGGTATGCCACATGCAGTGTTTGGGAGTCGGGACCCTGTGACACTGCTCTTCCTTCAGAGACATCAGAAGGGCCCAGGGCTTCATCTGCTCAGTCTTCTGAGCTTGCAGCTCAAGTTCTATGTCTCAGAGTTAAAGGTGGTTTTGGTCTCAAGGATGACTGGTGGAGTGTTTAGCATGCAGCCTCTTGCCCAGAGAGAGAAGCTTTATTAAGTGAGGAATGTCATTTTTTCTTCTACCATATGAGACAACTTTCTGTTAATTTATAATTTTAAAAAACAAACTTTCAAGCATTTCCACCAGGTAGTTTGAATTGGGGGTTATTTCAAATGCTTTATACATTTTTTTTTAAGATTTTATGTAGGGGACTGCAGTATACATACATACATACCTACACACACACACAAACACACACACACACACACACGAACACAGGTGCCCTTGGAGGCCAGAGGTCTCTGATCCACTAGAACTGGAGTTACAGGCAGGTGTAAGCCAGAGAGCAGGTGTTGGGACTTGAACTCATGTCTTCTGCAGGAGTAGTACTTGCTGTTAACCACTGAGCATCTCCCAGCCCTCAGACAGGAGATAGGACAAGAAAGCCCATGAATGTCACACTCAGAATGGCTCTTGCACCTTCACAGGGCTGTGTGCACTGGTATGTGAGCGTAGGGAAGACCTAGAGAGGCAGTGTCAGAGACCAAGACTGACCAGTGCTGTCTTATGACAAACACATCCATGCGAGATTTTCCCTGGGGAGATGTGAGCAAACATCTGTTCTCTCCAGATAGGGCCTCAGCCAACAGATCAGACAAACCATTCCACCCAGGTCTGCCATAGTAAAGCAGCGAATTTTGGGGAGTTCCTTACAGGAGCTTCGATGCCTCAGGCAGCTGCACCTAGTGACATCCATCCCAGCAATGGTGACAACTCACAAGGCTACACCTTAGGGTTCTCTATAGAGCTTGTGGTCAGAGAAGCCATGAGTGTTCTCTTCCCAGCGGTTGTCATGTGCTTTTATAACCATGGAGTCGGGCTTTTGAATCTTATAAGTTTCATAGTTTCCCAAGTCTTCAGAAGCTTCCTCCAGGTGGGGCATTTGAGTCAGGAGAAAATAGCTAAGCAGTGTGGGTGAGAAGGGTATGCCAGCCCACTAGTCTCTGTCCTGTGGCCAGGCAGGAACATGGAGGGTGTCCCTCATGACTCTTTCCAAGATACCATTATAGAGGTAGAAGTTTCAGAACTTATCTACAGGGACAAACATTTTAAAGAGACAGGGAGGACAAGAGGGAAAGTTCTGGAAGGAAGGGAAGCTTCCGGATGGTAGATTGCTGAGTCCCTAAGCTGTGCCCTTTGCTGTCCTCTGCTATGGCCCCAGGTAGCACCCTGGCTATTTTGGACCCTCATCTGTTACCCGTATCCTGTGCTGTATAAGTTCATTGCTCTGGTTATTGCTGATACAGAAAATCGCTTATGTTCAGTGTTGCCCACACAGCTGCCACTTAATTTGCTCCTATTATCCTGGGGCAGGACCTGCTGGAGGATCTGTTGTGTGTCTACACCTGGGTGCTGACAAGTGTTGACAGTGTTGACATGCCTCCCTCCTCTGTGCGGTTGGTCCCACTCACAGATTGCCAAAGCTAGTCACAGTTCATAGGAGGGGCAGGTCCCTCTCAACCAAGGGTGTCATATTTGTGAGCATGCTCACCATCACCCCAACAGCAAGGACCGGCAGTGTTTGTAACAGTCCATCAAATGAGCATGTGAAATACTTGAGCTCACCATATGCTTTTCAAATATGCAATCTGCAACAGTTTTGCAAATATTTTCTAGGAAGTGATTAAATATCCATGACAGTTGAAAACCCACTTTCTATGATATTGTAAAACCTTAGACAGAACAGTCAACTATTTCTACCCAGGTCCTGAGCTGTGGGGAAAGCCTTAGGATGTGGGATGTGCTGCCTTTCCCAGAAGAGCCTCGACAGGAAGCAGCCAGGTGCGTGTCATCTGGACTGGGTAGGCGGAAGTGCTCAGAGTGCTCATCTTCCTTCTTATATGGGGCTGTTAGAACCCTTTGGACCTGAGGAGGAGGAGGAGGGCTGCAGACATTTGCACTGGAACTGTCTGCGCAGTGCCCTGCTCTCCATCCCCATGACACTCACGTTATCCTCTCATGATGCCTGTTTTCATTTTGTGTTGGAGAAACTAAATTTTAGATCAGTCCACTGTGCATTAAACATTTTATATTATCAATAATGTGGGAGTTTTAATCATTGGCATATACCTTTAAATACTGTGTGTTCTCCAGATTAGAAGATAATTCTGAAGCACATGCCTGCAACACTTTAATTAGCAAGATTCTGTGTGAGCTCTGCCGCCATGTGCCTGGGAGTACCTGTGCTGTAGATGGCTCAGATGGGCTTCCCCCCGAGAGGTGAGTGCCGAAGAACCATACTGGTAGTTTATGGTAGCAGAGGAGACTTACTGTTTCCACTCTGAACTTCAGCAGTTTGGTATTGTGTCCCAGAAGAGGTCGTCAAGTGAGGCTAGGCGATCTCGGTGCAAGCGCCACGTGTCTAGTGAAGTCACCATGTGTAGTGAGGTCGCCTGTCCACTGCAGCTGCCTTTCACCCACCTGTCGCTTGTACCAGCAGACCCCAGACCAATTCAGATTCAGGAAAAGAGATGGCAGTGGCATCCCCTGGTGTTGTGCGTCCCCTGATTGCTACGCTCTCCCTTGCAGGCGGCCCCAGCTGCTCAAGGAGCTCTGCAGCACACGCATTCCTACCCTGTTCTGCCCCAGACTCGTCCTGGAAGTTGTGGTTCTGCTCCGAGGTATCAGCTCCCAGTGCCAGCGTGTGTCTGACCAGGTCACTGCCTCTTTGCAGCTGAGACACAGGCAGTGGGTGGAGCGTAGGCTGCGCTCGAGGCAGCGTCAGAACTATCTGCGCATGCTTAACAGGTAGGCCGTCCCCTCCTCAGCTCCCGTCTACTCAAGCTGCCAGAGAGTAATTAGAGTGTATATGTTTTATAGAAATTTTAAATTTTGCCTGTGGGAGTGGATCCCACCACCCAAAACGACTGTCTGGATTTAAGCCCGAGAGCATGTTCTCCTGGATTGGCCAGCACTATAGTTCTTCACATTTCCTTAAGAAATAGTTGTTTGGGACACATTTCTAGAACTTTGGGTTAAATGATGTGGTGTTTCATAGGCCTAGCAGAGCACTTGCTTATTCTGGAAGGCACTGGCCCTCCAGAAGTTTCTCAGTGTGCACTCAGGTAGTTTATACAGAAGTGCTAAAATAGAGTGCCCTGATTTTAATTATTTCTGCTGGTCTCATGTGCAAAATAAGGTCGGGCTTTCATAGGAATTTATTGGAATCTGGCGAAGTTAGAACACACTTTTTCCTTTTGGTGCTAGTGGACACAGAGCATGGGACCTAGCGCAGTCCCTGAGGCTGCACTGTAAGTGCTCTTGGAGGCAGCTGAGATTGAGCCAGACTCAGAGAAGTTGCTGGTGCCAGGGAGTGGAAGCACTTTATGACCTGAATGTGAAAAGCAAGGAGGGGCAGGACAGGTCAGGGCAGGACACGGCAGAGCAGGGCAGACCTTCCCAGATATTTGGGTTTAGGGATACCTTTTAAAGGTGTTAGCAAAACAAACTACATGCTTTTTGTTTTGTTGCTGTCTTTTTTCCTTTCTCATTTTGTCTGTTTTTGTTGTGGTTGTTGTTTGTTTCTATTTTCATTTTGTTTTGTGTATGTATTGTGTCGTGTGTATGTATGTGTGTGTGTGTGTGTGTGTTGAAAGAAAGGGCACACTTACAAACACAAAGTTGGGTGTGTTGGACGATGAGGAGGATCTGGGAGGAATGGAAAAGGGGGAAAAGCATGATCAAAATATATAAATTTTTTAATTAACAAAGGTGTTGATTAGGTGACGTGCTGTTTCCTTATGAAAATGGAGAGAGGACTGTCAGCTCCTGCCTCTGCTTTCCTCCTTCTCAGTGTTGGACTTCTGTCTCCTGGGCTTTACCTGATTTTGTTGCTCCTTGCACTGGAGTTGGTCAGTGTCCATGCTGTCCTTGGTAAAAGCGCTCCGGAGCGTCAGCAGTATCTCAGGTAAGGTGGCCTGCTCAGAAGAAAGGAGACAGTGCTTGGGTGACTCTGAGAAATGTTGACTCCTCTTGGCTGTTCTTGGTGATGTTTCTAACCCCACAGTTGCTCCTGCTAGTCCTCTCTATACACTGTGATGCTAGGTCTACGGACATTTGAGCCACATTTCACAAGACTGAAGCCAGTTTACCTGGGAATCCTCTCGGAGCTCCCCAGTCTACAGTTTGGTGCCCACATGCCAGCTGAATTAAGACTGTAGGGCTGGTCTTGGAGGAGGACCCTGAAATGTGACCTGAAGTCAGAGCCCTAAGGCAGACCCCGGCACATCCAGGTGACTCACAGTCACTTCAGCTGTGTATGGCTAACGGTGTCGAACTTAAGGAGTCTACCTTTCCGCAGCATCCAGATCTAGGGAATCTGAAACCAGAGAAAACCTTTATGTAGCCCACGGCACATGCAGAGGTTCCAGAGCTCACGGGACTCCTTAGACAGAGCTGTTCAGATGGTTTCCTGTGGTTAGTTGTCTGTAACTGTTGTGATGTAGCCTCTATCCATGCCCACAGTTCTTCATATCTTAGCTGGCTTTATGTTGTACTTGGCAAGGGGTAGGAATCCTTACGTATTATGGATTACAGTGATGTTTGTGGGGGTAGGGGGATGTTTGGTTGGTGTGTTTATGTGTGTGTGTGGTATAGAGGGTTTATGTGGGGAGTGGTATGTGGTGTGTGTGTGTGTGTGTGTGTGTGTGTGCGCGCGCGCGCTTTAGACAGGGTCTCATTATGTAATCTTGACTGGACTAGAACTTACTATGTAGTCCAGGCTAGCCTTAAACTCACAGAGATCAGCCTGCCACTGCTTTGTGGGTGTTGGTGTTAAGGGCATATACCAGCCACCATGTCTAGCTTTTTAGTTACTCCTAAAAAGTGTTTTTTTCAATTACTCTGGGGGGAATTGTGAAAGTCAGAAAAGGACTTTGTGTGGTAAGGTCTCCCCTTCCACCTTACGTGAATTCCTGATTGAACTCAGGCCAGCAGACTTGCTTGGTGAGTGCCGTGCCTGTTGGGCCATCTTTCTGGCCTGCACTGGTTAGTTTCAATTGCCAACGTGATCCAACCTGGAGTTGCAAGTTTCAGCTGAAGAACTTTTTAGATCAGGTTGGTCTGTGGGCATGTTTGTAGGAATTGTCTTGATTGTTAATTGATGTAGAAGAGCACAGCCCATTGTAGCCCATTGTAGATGGCACCGTTCCCTGGTTTTGAACCCTGGACTGTTGAAGAGGAGAGAGGGGGCTAGCTGAGTACTCAGCAGGCAGCTGCCTCAGGCTCCTGCCACTGTGGTCCCTGCAATGATAGACTGTAACCTGGACAGCAGAAGCCAGGACGTGTAGGTGAACAGAGCTGAGGCAGGTGCAGATAGCTTTGCTCAGTGTACAAGGCTGGCGATGACACTGGGTACTCAGCCTTAACACCACTGGCGTCTGATCTGTAACATCTCTGTGTGCTGTGTGGTGCTGGGTGTCATCCACGGCATCTGGCCCCATGCTAATAGCACTTTCCCAGTGACATCACCAGGAGTCCCCTAGGAGAGAAGAGCCACTCCCTAGACCAAGGCTCCGTGGGTTTTGTTGTACCATTCATTTGACATATTTATAAAAATTATATAAATAATTATGGGAAAGTCTCCACTACTCGGGAAACTGAGGGGAGTCTGAAAATGTAAAAATGATGTTTATCCTAATCAGTTAGTATATCTTTAAGGAAACTGTTTTCAATGGTGGCACAGTAACGGTGTTTCTCTTCAGAGAGACTTGTGGGCAGGACCTTCTTTCTCTTGCTGTGTGTCTGTCATGTCTCAGTCTGAACCTGGTGACCCTGGAGTCTTTGGAATTCTGTCCCATATCTGGGAAACATCGTGTCAAGGTCTGAGAGTGTGAGAAGTGTCGGGGCTCGTAGCTCTCCCAGCTGACAGCATTGGCCTTCACATTTTTGCTTTCTCTAGAACAGTTTCTCCTATTTTCATTTTGCATGCATTTTTTCTTGAATCCTTAAGTAATTTTTAAGGACTATTTCCAAGAGAAGACATGCATGCTGCTATGTTTTATAGCAGCACAGACAAAGAAACTAAAATTCCGCACTGTCTTTCCAACAGGTTCTTAAAATTGATTCTGCAGTACACCGAGAACCTAGCAGCCTATACTAACCAAGAGAAGAACAAATGGAATGAAGCCATCAGTCTTACACATGCAGTTCTGTTGAGAATTTGGACTTTCAGTGAGAAGAAACAAATGTTAATGCATTTAGCCAAAAACTCCACAAATCAAGTTGACACAAGTTGACAAAGAAAACAGAAGTCAGGCTCCTTTTGGTCATGAGAGAAAACTCAAGTAGATTCAACAGCAATTGGGTTGGGTAGCATCCAAAGGAGGGAGGGATTCTGTGGTCGTTCTGATCATGGACCAGGGATGCTGGTATTCTAGGGGATAACGGAGTCATTCCATGGGGTGAAGAAATAATTGAACATCTAGAAAGAAAGAAGACCAAGTCCTGGAGAGAGGGAAAGCAAAGCTTTACTGAAGGAAGGGTTGTGAGGGGACCCCCAGGTCCTCACCTTTCCCTTATTGGTTCTGTGTAGAGTCTGGCCTCTGCCTGGTGTCTCTTTGCAGTGTCTTCTAGGAACAAGAGGACGCCATCCCAGAGAGGCTGTGTGTGCTTTCCCTGTCTACCTCTGTCCCCTTAATTCCCCCTCAGGGCTCAAGCTGTCCTTTCTCTGAAGCTTTCTGATTTGGTGTCATTGTGACCCCTAAGCTAGTCTTAATGCCTACAACAGGTTTGGGTTTTCATGTCCTCGTGGCACACACTGGAGGGTGTGGACACTGGTTTGCCCCTGGTTGCCCAGACGCACATGGCTTCACATATCTTGTTAATCACGTGTTCATTTTAGAAGCTGTTCTTGTATGTCTAACCATACAAACTGGGGTGGGATAGGCTCAGTTTGATGTGTGGGCTAGTTACAGTTATCCCTGGGAGCAGGATCGTGTTCATCTGTGTTCATTGTATGGGTGAGTAATAAGCACTAGTAACCTGTGAAGATGGAGGTCACAGAGCTGGGTGATGGATCCCAGGTCCCCAGTGAGCGTTTAGCAGTGAATACATTTCTACATGTGAAGGCTGAGTGTAGGAGGCTCTGAAAAGTTGGAGGAGAAGAGGTCATTGTCATTGAATCCCAAGAGTTCCTTGAAATGCCACTTGGTTATTTCAGCATCTGGGAAGATAATCTTCCACTTCGATTGGTAGTGGCTGCATTGCCTGCATGTGTCATGGCTTCTTGGACCCACCTTCCAGACCTTACTGGATATGTCCTGCAACCAGCCAAAGAAAGATTTCCTGTGACGCTTAAGTGAGCCATGGAGAAGACTTTGGGGGTACTTTGTGCCAGCCGCCCATTCCTCTTGTTCCTTTATACTTTTAACCCCACCCCCCAACATACATACCAGTCATCTTCTGGATGAAAGAGTAAAAATACCAAGATACTGTTCATCAATTGAGATTTGATTGCTCCCTGGATTTAACACCTTATTTAAAGGAACAGTACCCTACATAGTGCCGTATCTTCAGTGAGTCCCGTGAAGGACACATGATCCGCAGACGTGAAGATGTATTCTACATCTCTACAAGAACATCTTGTTCTTATGCATAATGACTTGTCCTTGTGTGTCACATCAGGGGCACATGATCGTGTGTCCTTTATTGCAGCATGTCAAGGAAATGTAATCCATATACATGAAGACGTGCCCTGCGTCGCATCAGAGGTCTGTAATTTGTGCACAAGCCATTCTCAGCCCATCACGTCAAGGATCCATCTGCTCTTCTGTGTCATCATTTGTTGTAGAGCAGCAGGAGGTGCTTTGTGTGTTCTATTACTGTAGTGTGGAAATTGATAGTCATTCCAAAAGGTCAAGGTCAGATTTCTTTACTATGTGCCATCTCTACCTTTTGAAGTTAACTAAAAAACAGTTTGATACCCGAACCTTATAAATATCTTTTTTCCATGGACCCTCTCCAAATGCTGATAGTTCTTGCTTCTCAACCCACTTTGTTAATTAAATATTTTTTTTTAAAAAAAATTTTACCATGAGCTCCATGTTGGCTTTCATTTTTCTCAAGAAAGATCTCTTAGGTGTGGTGATACATGCCTGTAATTCTAGTACTTGGAAGCTAGAGGCATGAGGATCAAAAGATTGCGACCAGCCTGGTCTACGTAAGGAGACCGTGTGTGTGTGTGTGTGTGTGTGTGTGTGTGTGTGTGTGTGTGTACGTAAGGAGACGGGGGGCGGGGGTGGCAGGTGATAGAAGTTTGGAGACTCGCTTTCTCCTACATGTTATCAGAAGAGAAAGGAAACAAATTCAAGTATCAGAACAAATGTTGGTTGAAGGTGCTCCTATCTGGCCCAAGCCAAGTGTACCTGCCAGTGAAGCCCACCCTGCCCTGTCCATTCAGGGCTGCTCAGTTCTCAGCTCTACTCTACAAAGAACAGGGCAAACAGTAGGAGATGCACATACAGATTTAGGTTCTAAAAGATAATAATGGGGGGGGGATGAATGAATGTTTTTCAGCTTGTAGTCCTAGGCACTGCCCCTCCTAACTCCCAGCAGGATGGGCCTGTCTGGGTGGACACCACTCCAGACCCTCTCTCTTGGTTGACTAGAAGCAGTACTAGAAGAAATGAGCTGCTAAATTATAGGTTGGTGTTCTGAGAACAAGAGGAACCAGAGCTGGGGGCCATGCTGTGGAGACTGGTGGGAAATGTCAGGAAGAGAGCCCATGGAGGTACGCTGAGTCAAGAGCAGACGGTGCCCTGCCAAAGGCCTGGTTAGATCTGGGGTCAAGTGATCCTCAACTGTCCTATGTGTGGATCTCTGTCTCTAGAAGATAGCAGTCATCCCGAGAGCGACCCTAGAAGTGGAAGTAGAAGCACAGAGGTCAGAAGTTAGGTTGGCAGTTCAGACCCAGCCTGGGGAAGTAGATATGCTCAGATGAGGATCCTTCCTCTGTATGTTACCAGGCACGTGGGCAAGCTCCTTAACTTGTGGCAAGGTGTCTTCGTCTGTTAGTGCTGATGCTGCCATTGCCATTGTATACATCATTTGACGGACACCAGGGAAAGGGAAGCAGTGCTGGAGATGCTTTGCTTTGTCCCGACATCTACAGACACAGCCTTTCCTTGTTCCTCAAGGATGATGATGGGAAGTGATTTGGATTCTGTCATATTAGGCTGCGTATATGTGGTATGTGATGAGTGTGTCTGTACAGTATGAGTCAGAAATTCCAGATATCCACAGCCTTACATAAATGAGGTGGTGGGAAAACAGTAACCAATTTCAAGTCCTCACCTGGAGTCCCAGCTGAGAGTAACTTGGTTCTGCAAGAAATGCCCCTTACCTGTAGATCTGAACCCTGGCATGGGAGTGGATCCAAATAGGATCATCAGCATAAGCAAGCAGTCTCACTGCAGGCTGTTTCTAACTAGGGTACTGGTGAGACCTCCTTCTAGCTTTGCTTCTTGAAGGATCTGGGGAAGACCCCATCTTAAGGAGAAGCCAGCAGCACCCTTAGAGCACAGTGATGCTGGATTCCATTACAGCACCTTCTAGGTCTAGTTCTGGGCTGTGCTTCCCTGATCAGACACAGGGTGGCACTCTTCATTAAGCTGTGAGAGAAGACATCTTCTGTGAACTCTCGTGACTCCAGGGAAATGAATTCTTTCCTTTTCCTCTGGCTGCATGCAGTGAGGTAGATCTCAGGTGACAGGAGAGAGGCTGACCGCTGCCCTCTGGTCACTGGGACTGTGGAGCATCACGCTCACCTTCTAATCATCAATTCTGTATTGACGAAAGATAGGAAACAATCACAGTCTATAACCTTTCCCATCTCCTCGGAGAAGGATTGGGATTGTATTGTGTGAATTAATCCCTTGGGGAAGACAGGAGAATGAGGGAGGTACCAAGGTCACCATTAACCAACCACCAATCACCATCCTGCGGATGGGGGAGGGGAGCCCTTTGTCTGAAGGAACTGGATTGAGCCTGGCAGGGAAGGAGTGGAAACTGGCTTCTAACCACTCGCCCTCCCCAGCTGCAGCCCGAATTCACACCTTGACATCTCAGTCAATCTGCCAACTCTGCTGCCAAGGCATGGGGCCCGTTGGGGATTGGCTGTTAGGGGCTGACAAAGAAAATTCTTTACGTTGGGTAAAAGGGAGTGTCTGTGGTTTGCTTTATAGCCCTACTAAGTAATTTTAATGAAACCAAATCACCCTGCTACCTCCTGAGTCTGAGCTTTAGAGAGCCACAAGCCAGTTTCCCTGTGAGCTGTGTTGTCTGGACTGTAGCGTGTCCACATGAATTAACTAAGAATGTTTAAGATAAATCTTTGATTATATCTTAAGTTCTCCAAATGAGACCCTGGATAGATACAGGAAGTCCCCTTGACACATCAATTAATTAATTGGAAATGAAATAGGCTAAGTTCAAAAAAAGCCAGCCATAAAAACTAAGTCCTGCCGCCAGCAGTTACACTTCATGGAGCCGATGAGCATAGACTTGCCGTTATAAATATCAAGTACCACCTTTACAGAAAGCTTATGTATTTTCAAAGCCCTTTGCCATCCTTAATTGCTCAGGACTTCGAATACCCCCAAGACAATGTAATTAACTCCATTTAAGAGAATGAAAACTAAGCCCAGAAAACCTGGAACTCATTGTCCTGTGAAGAAGACATGGGGTATGCTAGTGTCCTCCGCTGACAGGCCTTGTCTGTGTGGAGATCTGCTGGGCCTTGCAGCACCCTCTCTCCCCCTCCTAGTACTCTTTGTCTTCCTGGTTCACTGATGGCCCCTCTGGACCCCAGAAATGATATTTGTAATCTCAAAATCAACCTTCCAGCAGCTTGGTGGGAAGGCAGAGTCAGCCCATCTAAGAGCAAACTTCAGGATCAACAAGAAAGTGGCGTGTGGTCCACAGGCTCAGAGTTCAGGGCTGCTGTGCTAAGGCTGGTCCGGAGGGTGTGGGGCCCAGGGGGCCCCAATCAGAACAGAGGCCGGGTCTGCAGGTGATGTAGGGACAGTGGGTACAGAAGTCTGTTTTAGTTAGGAAACCTGTGAAAGCAGCTTAGGACTTTGCTCATGTCTGAGCACTGTAAACTCCTAGTACTGGGCCATCATTAAACTTGTTTAGAGATGAGCCTCTTCCCCAAACTGCTGACCGCCACTTTCCACTTACTATTTTACACAGGCGCATGATAGCCCTTCCTCAGGAATCTGCGTCAGTTACCAGTCTTCCTGAGGTTAGGATTTGGATTGTCCATCGGAAGCTGGGCAGTCCACACTTCTGGCTTGTTTGTTTGTTGTTGTTTCTCTCCATTACCTGTAAATGGTAGAAAAGCTACTGGTGACTCTTCAGTTGGACCCATGCTTTGTGTTTATGCGTTGATCTTAGCTGCTGTGAGCTGTGTTAGTCAGTGTGGGAACAGGAGGTGTGAAGCCTCACCTCAGGGGTCCTCCATGAAGTGTGATACTCACAGGCTGGCAAACGGTGGGAATATTGCCCTCCTTAAGTGCTGGTCATATCCAGATGGTGCTGAGTATCCGGTACTGTGCCCCACATCCCTCCACACCCCTCCACCCAGCTCTTCTGTCCCCCAGCCCCCTTTAAGCCCTGTGCCTGAGGCCCCCAGTGCCTGATTTCCATGTGAATCTCTAAGGCTTGGGGGCCTGAAATTTGAAGACCATTCAGGAATCGGTTCTTATCTGTGACATTTCACATGTCACTCTGAAATGGCTGGTCACCCCAGGCCTGTGCCATCAGATGAACTTCATGGTTTTTTGTTTGTTTGTGTGTTTGTTTTGGCAGAGGACCCCCCCCCCCCGAAGTCTGAAATAGCTGCCAGGAAGAGCAGGGCTCACAGATCCCCTCAGGCCCAGGGCCGTCCTCCCATGCCAGGGCTGTGCAGGCTAGACTTGCTGAGTCCGCAGCTACAGTGTCTGTTCTTTTATCTCTGCCTCCACCGCTTCCGCTACTCCGTTTTGGAACCTACGGGATAATATGCCCTGGTCCCTTAAGGATGTGGAGGAAGGAACCATTTCCATATCCATTTGACTCAAGTTACCACAGTCAGCTGCTAGCTGAGCAAACTGACCTAAGATGAGTCACAATCTAGCTCACGGAAGGTCACAGTTCAGTCAGACTCTGATGTCTGTGCTCAGGATGCCAGTGGATGCAAAGGGGGCAGAAGGGGGATGCTTGGTCTCAGCAGCTTCCAGGCATATGTGTCAACTGCATTCAGGAGATCACAGTGAGACCAACCCCAAGGCCCCAGCAGGGATGGGTGGCCAAAAGGCAAGGCAAGAGCTGGCAAGCGTAGCAGGGGGCAGGAGCTGCTGAATGGGACCCTGGAAGCTGCTAGGCTTCCAAATCCAGGGTGCTTCCAGACCAAAGGAGGGGGAACTGACCCCAGAGTGAAGCTGTAGGGCAGTTGGCCCCAGGTCACAGGGACCACAGGAGGGACACAGGCAGCAGCAGGGTCACCATGACTGGGTGACAGGAGCCGGGTTACCTGTGTGTCACCTCTATGATCTACTCATACCACTCTGACATACCTGAGTTGATCCTCACAGTCACTGGAGAACAGGTGGTGGAATCCGACTGTGGTCTGCAAGGGAAGGACATGGGTCGCACCAAGGGACATTATCAGATCACCAGGCCAGCATTATTGCAGGCATTATTGCAGGTCTCCAGAACCCCCAGGGTTTGATTTGTCAGCACCCATCTTTTCCTGTCTGGCTCCTCGCTGGTTCCAGGAAAGCTCTGGGCAGGTTGCAAATGTCGGGGTTGAAACAGTTCTTCCAGGGGGAGGATGGATGCAACAGAGACAGCAGTGTGTGTGTGTGTGTGTGTGTGTGTGTGTGTGTGTGTGTGTGTGTGTGTGTATAGGGGGAGATACCTGCTTTGCCATCCTGCAAAAAGCTGCAGAGTCCAGAGCAAGCAGGCTGCGCTCAGCCCCAGCATTTCCACGAGCCTGACACTCTGCAAACCATGGAATGTTGCCTGGGT